TTTTTGTCTCCTTTAGTTTTGTGTTGGTTTTTTTGAACCTGTTTAGCCTCGTTTAATTTGATGCCTTCCAGCTCTTGCTCTGTGGGAGTCACTGTATTGCCATCCTATATGCCACTCATGATTTCATAGTTATATTCCTGCTCCTTTTCCCTCCAAATTCTGTGTATTATGGCTGAAGAATAATAAGGTATTTAGCTATTTTTATGTGGAAACACTTCTGTACCCTCTTCCTATGCATTATTTTGCTTCTTATGGACACTGAATCTTCTTAGTCATCTTCAGCCCCAGAGTCTGTCTGTCTGCAGTTTCCTAATCGTTCCCTGTTGCCTCCAGATCCCTGGTTATGGTTAGCTCATCCTGAGGTTCATTCTGGCTGTTGACAAGGATGGTCTCCCCTATCCCCATTTCCTAGTACCGTTCTGGCTGTAGCTTTCAGCATTTTCCCCACCGTAGTTTTTAGGGTCCTGTGTGTCCCACTCCCCTGCCCTCCCCCCCTGGCTTCTTCAAAGGCTTTGTGAATAACATCAGGGTTGTCTCTGTCACCTGTACAGCACTTGGACTGGGTCTGTGGTCTTTTCAGTCCTACTGCAGTCATCTCTTCTGTAGTGGTCTGGCCCTGCAGATCACTGGAGGAGTGGGAAGTCTTTCAGCTAGGAAGCCTAGCAAAGTCAGTTATGCTGCTGGCTCTCTTCTGATCACCAAACCGAAAGCTTGCAGATTCTGGTAACTATTCACAAGGCGATAGAGGTTTAAATGTTAAAACCATTCTGCATGTTTCCTGAAAACTAGAAACCTGACTGGATCAGCAAGACCCAAATTACCTCCCTTGCAGAGGGAGAGCTGCTGTTGTTTGCGTGGCCCCGCTATCTCTGCTCAGTGCAGATGAACTGCCTGTGGCCCCACATATGGCCAGAGGTTTGGCAGGATTGAAGGCAGGATTGAAGAGGTGTGGGGCAGAGGATTGTGTTGTGAGGCATGTGGGGAGGGTTTGGGGTAGAAGAATGAGAGGACCAGAGGGCACATGCAATGTAAGCCATGAGAAAAATCAGATCTTAAGTGCTGCTGCTTGCATAGTTGCTTTTGTAGTTAGTGTGATGCAGGTAACTTGTGACTTAATTCTTGTACTTTTTTTTATGACTGTCTCCCCTTGAAGGGGAAGAAGACCGTCTGAGTGACATTTGGAATGCTGTTAATTTTGAAAGTGAGGCTTAGCATAAAAAAGGGACTGGGAGTAATGGGTATAAAATGTCAAGTGGAGGACTGAGGTGTTTACCCCTTGTCTTTATGTATGAATAACATACATACGTTGTAAGTGCTGTGGCCGGTTCCAGACAGCCTTTTCATGCTGTTCTTCTGATCCAAAGTCTCAGCCAAGTGCTAGACTTGGTTTAATTTTTGGTGACAAACAAGATGTTTCTTTAACTCTTCTCTCATTCTGTGGAGTTTTAAGTTAGTATTTGGGTCTGCTTCATATTAAAACCTGAAAATTTTGAAAATAAAAAAATCCAGCATCCCCAGCTTTACCTGACATAATGTTATCCCCATTAAATACATTTTGATTATTTTGAGCCTTAATGATAGTAATTTGTTGCAAAACTTAAAACTTTAACTTGAGTAACTTCACTGGACTGAAATGAACTCGCTGATAAAATTGCAGGTATTGCTGTCTTTTAATAATTGCTTCTGTTTGAGGACAGGCCAAGTCATAGCTGAAGATCTTTGGGCCCTTAAGATTTAAAAGCTGCTGTTTATTTTTGAGGTTGCTGTTTACTCTGGTTTGCATGGACCTGGGCAATGATGAGCATTTTTAGTCTTTCTTCATTTTACTGAATGCTTTCTGAGAGCAAGCCGAAGTTATGTGCTTCTTAGTGACATCTTCACCTAACTGGTTGATTCTCCAGATACTTCACCATAAGACAACAGGAGTCTTGGCCCACAGATCGCAGCTGGGAGAACGTCCTTGGCCTGCATATTATCCACGGACTATAATTTAGTCCTTTATCACAAGACAGTTCAGCTCAAAGCCTTTAACTTTGTCGTTCTTCAGACGTGTTGTACAAGTGGGGACCTGCAGCATTAAATGATCTGAAGAAATGTAAAGAGTCTGTGGCAGAAGTTCAGCAAATACCAAATCCCATTAGTGTGCTCTAGCTATCCTATCACTCCCCTCCTTGAAGTAGATATGCAAACTTTTTAATTTACAAAAGAAAACATTGGTGTTGCTTTTCAGATAATTCTCCATCACATGAATATGAAAGGATTGTGTCTTGTGTGAATGTTATAATAATGAATTTCTGTGGAGAATTTTATAATCAACCCTCAAACGTGGTCTGAAGAAGCAGTGAAGGGAAGTTATTTACCATAATTGTCTATTTAATTCTTATGTCTGAATCTGGGGGTAAAAGCAATTACTTGTCCTTTAGGCTTTGAAGGAGGAGTTAAACCCCAACAATCCCGTGGCTGGCAAAAATGCTCTTTTGCTGGGGACACTGACATTTTTAGCTAACTTTCAGAAAAGCGCATTTGCTCCAACTGCTGGTTTTTGTGGGGAGGGGAAGCTAATTCAGTCAGCAGGTTCTGTTACCTGGTTTGTGCATATTTTAATTGGTGTCTCAGCAGCAAGCAATTCCTTCTGCCATGCTGTGAAAACAGTGGAATTTAAAAAGGGATTAGCAGATCCTCTCACTAGGACGACTGCTCTCATGTTGCAGCCTTGCATTGAAGGGACGTTGTCTTTTTTGCTCCCAGTCCCCTGCAGAGCAAAAAGGTTTGTCGGATTCAGGCGAGGACCCCCAGGGAGAGGTTGAGCCCCCCCACCATGGTCTGGGTCACAAAGAATCAGCTGGTGAGCGCGACTCTGAGCACCCTGCTCCCGCTGTTGCCTCAGTCAGTGCTACCCTGAGTCCCGCTTCTGAAGCCCAGCTTGCTCCTATTCAACAAGAACTGGCAGGGGTAAGTGTGAACCTACCAAGTACTTCTGCTGAGGGGATTAAAGAGAAAAGTCCCTTCTACTAGGAGGAATCTGTTACTGGTAACTTTAGGTAGTGCAGCTCACTGTCTGGTTCTTTGATCTCAAGTGTTAGTCCCCTCTAAGCCGTTGTTTCAATTAGCAGAAATGAAATTTGTTTGGGACTCTCTAGTGGGTGTAATTATAGAAGACACATCACGTATTAATTTTAAAATTTAGGGTGTAAACTCTGTGTTTGCTAAGGATAAGAGCTAAAATCTCACTTCTAAATGAGTGAGAAAGTGGCTATATATGAGGGATTTGCTTCAAGCAGTTAGAGGAGGATTATTTATTCCCTCTGAGCCATAATGCTGCAGCTTGACAAAGTGAGCAGCTAATGCTCTGTTTCCACTGGATATAAACAGGAGCTTGTCATGCCAACCTGTAATGTACTTAACAGATTAAAAGCAGCAAGAAAGATGCTAAAGCAGAATTATGAATTTAGGTACTTGGGGAAAAAAAAATCAGTACCTTGAGGTAGAAAAAGCTGTCAGTGCTGTTAATTTAAGATTTTTCTATTGATGGTGCAGCAAAATATTTTTGATATTTAGATGACTAAACGACTGCTACCATAAAGCCTTTCAGAGCAATTTTAAGTGTTCATAATCTTTCTGGTTGGTGGATCGTGTTTTCTTGGTGCGGGTGAATGTCACTGCTCATTGTGACCACATACACTGGGCATGTACTCTTTGATAGAGCATTGCCTGTTGAGGCTGCTCCACATAGTACTTGCACCCTTTTCTTGCACTAGTTTGTTTGTTTTTTTTTTTTCCCCCCAAGAATGGACCATTTCAAGTAGACTCGGTGCCGAATGGATTGTCATGACAAGATACAAACAGCTGCAGGTTAAGCACCTTTTGGTGTTCAGACTGTCAGGCGTTGCTTGATGACCTGCTGCAGAAATCTTTCTATTTCAATTTTTTTTTGAAGGTTAACATTTTCAAGGGTTAATATTTTAAAATATAGCTGGTAAATGTAGTCACTGACTTTTATGTCAGTTTTCTGTCATTTGAAATTGCCAGTGTTACTAGAACTGGCCAAGAGAACTGTATTAAACCAGACTTTTGGGAAAACTGCAGCAAGTGTTCATTATCTTGGACTTGTTCTTAAAGAGCAGAAAATCTTACCCCAGTTAACCCAGGTCTGAAAGAAATTTAAGAACCAAAAATGCTGTTGGGGAATGTATGCAGGAATTCTTGGCTGTACACAGCAGATATCTATGCATCCTTGAACTTTACTCATTTCACTTAAGTTTATGGAATAGTACAGTGCTCAGTATAGGCATGTAACTGGCCTTCATATGCACTGGCAAACATTCTTCAAATTATCCCAGTTTCTTAGAGTAAAACTGTCTCTTACCTTGAAATACACAGAAGGTCGATGCGTCTTCAGAGTGCTCATACTGGTTTGGTGTAGCAGAAGGTTTCATGTAGTCTTCCCAGGACCTTGGGAAGATAGGTGAATTAAGACTGAGCTCTGAAGAAGAGACACTGCATATTTCTTGTTTACTTGGTATTGTTTGTATATGCACAGGCAGATATCTTTGCTAAGACATTAACATGGTGTGGGCAGAGATACGGCCTCTTGCAGAGCTGCTTATGATGTCTTGACTTTCAGCTCTCTAACGCAAGCCAACCTACACAGCATGTAGCTGTGCCAGCAGACCTCCATTGTTTAAGAGGTTCTGGAACAGCTTTTAAGCAACAGCCATGGCAGTTCAATAATGCTTATAAATGTTCAGAGTGTCTGGATTGCAGACTTGCTGTACCATGCTCTGAAGTCCTTTGATATATGACTTTTTGCATCTTAAATGTGTTTTTCAAAGATAAACGCTGTAAGTGTACTCTTAGAGATTTTACCTAATTATGTTAACACTTTTTTTGCTTTACCTGAATTCTCCCTTGCCTTCCCTGTTTCTGCTCATTATTGTGAATAAACAAAAACTGACAAATTTGTTGAAGTTTGTGTAAGTTCTTCTTCTCTTAGTTTGTTTTAACAGCTGTGTGAGGAAGTAATGGGTGTAAAGAAGCAGTGTTTGTGCTTTCATTTGCACTTTTAAAAAGCAGTTGGTAGACTTTGTAAAGGTAATTTGGTTAATTAGAAACGAGTCAGAATTGTAGGAGCCTCTATTTAGAAATAATTGTAACTTTTCTATAGCTGGATTTCTAAAAGTAAGGGGAGGAGAGAATATGTGAAAGATGGCTTCTGTTCTCAAATGAGGAGTAAATTGTAGGTTGGATTTTGATGTTACTAGTTTAAGTGTCTCTTCAGCTTCTAGTTTCAAAGAACTGAATGGGAGAAGTTGGTCACCTTAATGGTTCCTTAAGGGATGACATGGTCCTGGCTTTCATTTCTGTTGTGTAGTATACTTGTGTAAAACATCTATTGCTGTAAAGTACAGATGGAGTAGCCTGAAAGAGAGGCCTGAAATGGAAAGGCTGGACTGCTGTTTATTATCACTGATTGTAATCTGATGTTTTTCCTAGTCTGTCAAGTAAACTGTCATGCATATATTCTCCCTAATTTGTCTAGTCTCCTCAGCTTCTCCCAAATAAGCAACACTGGTAAGCAGCTTCTGGCTGCAGCGGTAACTTACTTCATAGTATGGCTTCATAAGAAAATGAAGCTTATGGTAATACAGTATATTGGTGTATGCCCACCCCCCCATGCCACCTACCTTTTAACTCTGTTGGTTTTGACCAAAGATTCCTCTGTGGGTAGAGGCAGATAGAGAGGAGAGAAAACATCTTGCTGCCTCAAGCGTTTGACTTCTCACTGAAGGTTATTCCACATTGTTTGTCATCTAGGTAGGATCTGTGGGAAATCAGGCTTCATTAGATCATGTGCATACAGCTTTATTTTCTTGAAAGCCTTTTCTCTAATGATGAAGGATTTAGAAGTATTTTTCAAGATCTGTAAGTGTGAATTGGTCATTGGTGAAAGCACTATTATAGTGAGAAAACTTGAGATTTATCCAAGGTTGAGGACACCTGATAGGTGAATGCCCAAGTAATGGGTAGTGAGTATTGACAGCAAGTTTTTTAATAAAAGCAAGGAAACAGAGTGGTGTGTTTCTTTTACTGGATGCTGAGTATAACAAAATTAAAAAACAGTTCCCAGTAGTGTTGGTAACTCTGCAGTGGAGTAACTTGTGCATATTTTCATTCATTTGAAAACAGAAAATTGAACCTGAATGTCTTAAATGCTCAGGCAGGAGTTTCAGTACTGAGATAGACATAAATAAGGTTCTTTGGCCTATCTGTGCTTGGGGATCAACCTAAGGGATTATGACTTTTTTCTTCCCTGGCCTTTAAATTCCTGAGTCTATGAAAGATTTAAATCTGTTGTTGCATTTTTCTGCTAGGAGTTATTTGCAAGGTCTGTCCCAACTTCCTCAAGCAATAATTGACAGTGTGAGCAGTGTGTAAATGGGTAAGGATGGGAGGTAACATAGCAAATGATCTAAGTATTTAGATGCCTATGTAGGAAAAAATACATTTGAGAGAAAGGGAAGCCCTTTTTTACTTCCGTGCAGCATCTACTTTGACTAGGATTGGCAATGTCAGTAACCGCTGTAGCACTTGTCATGTGGGCTCTTGCATAGCTTTAATCTGCTAAAACTTTTGGGCTAGAAAGCATGGAAATAATTCAGAGAGAGTAGATACTTAGCTCTGCTTTGCCCTCAGTAGGTTACAGAGTTGGTTTTGGATATTGACGCTCCTTACCCTCTAACTGTAGTGGTGGTATATTTAGTTGTGCTTGCATCAGTTAATGAAATGACAATGATGTCATAATTTGAAGCTTGTGCTATTCAGGTTTGACTTTCTTTTTTTGACTGTGTTACTTGAGCATTGAGAATACAGTATACACTAGTAACAGCTTAAGAAGTTTTTGGAGTTCAGGGGAAATCACTTACTGATTTTTAAGGATTTTTGCGCAGAGAGATCTGCAGTTCCATTCATGCAAATTGTTTACCGAATGGTTTCCTTTTGCTTTCAGGATTTTTGCTAAAAATTGAAACAAATTGCTGGTATATGTGACACCACTTTCTGTGGAAAATAGAATTTTTTCTGACTTCAGATGCTGATTGCTGAAACGGATAGATGACATCATGGGAAACTAGTGTATGTTGGCAAGGGAGATGCCTAATAAGATCATCTTCCAGTAGTGTGGAGTACTTGACCAATTATGTAGGAAGAGCATGGATCATCAAATACAGTATTAATGTGCTTGGGCTGACAGATATGTGTGGATGTGGGTGTTGTGTTCCAGAACTGTCAATAGCTTTTCATTCCCTATGCTGAAGGTTTCATAAGTACTTGACTAGCAAGCTAGTGAAGTAGCTATAGTTTTCTATTAATGTAAAACAAAACAGAAGACCCCTTAAACTTAATTGCATATGCAAAATGCAGTGTAAATGGGTTTCTATTAGCATTGAGGGAAATACTGATAGTACAGTAGTATCTAGATTCTAAATGTATGCAATGCTAAATAGAAAGTTTTGTACTTTCTGGTATTCGTAGATGCAAGGTATGTCTTTCAGATGATAGTCCCGTGCAGCCTTAACCAGTCCTGTTGTGTGTTCCCGATCCTTGTGTGTCTGCCTGTTCTTCATGCCAAAGTATGACTAGTTGCACTGGGGAAGGATGAGCTCTGGGGCTGCAGTGGGCTATGTCTGTTCCTTCCCAAGTCAGCCAAGCTCTGAAGTGAGGCTGTGAAGGCAAGGTGTCCATCTGTGTGTCCTGGGGCAGGAGTGGGATGAAAGGGTAGTATTGGACTAGGGAGAAGGTGCAGTATGTCAAGAGGTTTTGCAATGAGATGGAGATGCTAATGCTGCCCTGGTCATGTTGCATAGTGAAAGGAATCCATCGTGGGATTGTGTTTTGCAGGATCAAGGGAAATTATATTAGCTGAGGAACTGGCAGAGCAAGTAGGAGGAGAGAGACCTAGAAATCATCAGAAAAGATGTGAAACTTTTGTTCAAAGACTTTTTGAATATTGTGATAGTTGGTAGCCTATGATGCTTCCTGTTTTGTTCCTGGTACTGTGGAAGATGCTAGGGGACTATCCATTGCTAATTCCTACCAAAATATCATAGTACTGGTTTATAGAGCATGCTTTGAAAGACATTCCTCCAATGCTGTCCTTTTGTTGCAGGAAGTGATGTCAGTTACATTAATTAGGAAAAGTGCTTTGGAATGAACTCCCAAATAATGGGTATGTTCCTGAGGAGCTTGGAACTTCTATGATATGTTTAAAATCAAACCAAATTTGAAAATTTTCATTTTTGGATTTTCAATATATAGAAAATTGTAACTGTAATAATTGTTGCATAGTCTCTAAGGATGTTAGTGCTTGGCTATGAATTTTTAGGTATCTTATTTGTAACTGAAATATTTTTAATTAATCTTATTTAATAGTATCTGGGTGAAACTCAATATGCCTACATGTAAGTCATAAAAATAATGCTTTGCCTTGAATGTAGATCATTGACAGTAAAGAAAAAATCTCCACACTGATAATTAAAACATTTGGATGTATCCAAAGAGATCGAAATGTTCAGTACGTGATTTTTGTTTTATCACTCTCATCTGATTTCAGAGATCAGCAGATGGATCAAGTCCAGAAGATGGAGATGGTAAGAGATTTGATTGGAAGATTAAAAACCACGAGTATATGTCTCTCCAGGATTTTGTGCATTTTCTCTAATTGCTTTTTTCTACAGAATCTGATCGAGAGGATGGGAGCTACTGTCCACCTGTAAAGCGTGAGAGAACTTCATCCTTAACTCAGTTCCCTCCTTCTCAGTCAGGTAAATATTGTTACAATATTATATGAGAGGTGGGTTTCCTTCTTACACTTTTTTCCCCCAGTCACGTCAGCAGACTTATTACTGTCTGCTGTGCTTTGGTTTAAGACCACAGCAACCATGTACTCTGACTTTTTCTATGGTCTGTGTTAGCAAATTCAGTGAAGCCCAAAGGAGTTGATAGATATGTTTTTTGAAATATTTTCTATCTGTAAGTTTATATACATTTGTAGTTTCAGCTTTTAATCTTTTGCTGTTAAATTGAAGAATTTACCAGAAATCTTTTTGATTTGTTGTGATCACGTTGGCTCTTAAAAAATTTATATAAATGCTACCTTTTTCTCAGTTACTCTGCTGCCAGGCAAATCTTCCAAGTTTCATGTCGTGCTTAAGTTGTTTTAGTCCTTTACTGTTCTCCCATTCCTTTGAAAGTGGAGAGGATTCAGTGCATTTCAGCAACATTCTCACCTGGCAAACGCAAGAAAGAATGACCACTGCCTGTTTGTGTATATGGTCAAGGCAGCAAAATCACTGGGAAGGCCAGGGTAAATTCTTGCAATTCGCATACATGGGAATGGTCCCATTTGATATTTGTGTTCACCTGCAGGATCGGTCTCTAAAATGTATGCCTTCTCTCTTCACAGACAACAAGAAGTTTTTAGCTTTGGTCAAAAATTATTTTAGTTAAGATATGTCAGTGCTTGGGGCAGGTTTGGAGACTTCGCTACTTTGTTTCTGTCATCTTAGTTGAAATAAAGGAGATGGGAAAAACTGTAAAGGAGAGAACAGTAAAAAATATTCCTCTAACATACAGGACATTTAGGAAGTGTGACTAAAAGATGAAAACCTAGTTATTTTGCTTTTAATTTAAAAAAAATAAGTGTCTATGGAATTTAAAATGTAGTTGCTGATATTTTATGGGCACAGTATTCTCACTTCATATCGCCAGTGCTAGTCAGGGGAGGAATCCCTTCTTAAGATCTAGATTTTCTGGCGTGCAACTTAGCAGGTTTCAAGGTGCAGTCCTGTTAATTCAGTATGGTTCAGGGGGCCAGTGTTGCTGCTGTCTGCTTGCCGCTCACTCTCTACACAAAAATTATGAATAGGGTTTTTTGTCTGTAGATTTTCTGTTAGGATAACAGAACGTGTATAGCCTGCTAGGAGCTTCCTTATTTATTGGACCTTATATTCCTAGGTTCCCTATAATTACTAACTCTTCTAGTCTGTAATGCCTTTATCTCTTGAGATTAGAATCTCTAAAATCTCAGATTTTGGTTAACGCTAACATTTGTTAAGAAGTGGAGGAAAACACTTTATTTGGCTCTTTTATGGTTAAATACTGGATGTTTCAGGAGTCCAGTATACTTTCTCAGCACCTGCTTGGCTAATGCACTTTGACTGGATATGGTCACTTATTCCCTATTTGACTCCCTTGTTCTCTTCTGATGTGTGTTGTCAAGCAGTGACAGCTTTCATTGGTATTGCAACTTCCATAAAGGCTTCTTTGAATATTGCTGACAGTGTTTGATGGCCTCAGTTTACAGAAAATCTTTCACCTCTTAAAATTTTTTGTAGGGTTACGTTTCTCTCAAGGGTAGGGAAATTTTGCTTATATGAAACCTGCATCATGTTTAAGCTTAAGGCAGACCATAATAAAAAGAGAGAAGATGGAATTAAAGGAAAGAAGCAAATATGAAAAAAAAATCTAAAGCTTAAATACAAGAGGCAAGTGCTCCATTTTTCAGTATAACAGTGTTCAGAGATGAGTTTCCTTTCTCTTTTCAACATACTTAATCTTCTTCCACAGCCTCATAAAAGCTAAAAGAGCTGATAAATATTGTCGTACTTTATCTCATGCAAGATGATTCGTTGGAGACAAAAAACCCCAACCTACTATTGTTGCCTTATGACTCTTGATGCATCTACCTCCTGCGCTGATCATCGTATTTCATAAACCACATTGTCTGTGATTCTTTGTACAACACCAAAAGTACTTCAATGGCTGAACAGGGCTTCAACCAAACTCCTTACTACTCGCTTCTCTAGGTCCCAGCAAAGGGTGGAAAAGAAACACTGTTCTTTGACTGTTCCTTTCAAACATTTTTTTGCTCTTTGACTTCTTAAGTGTGACATCTGCAAATACGCTGATGTACTCTCCTCTCTTTCTGTAGAATTTTTGTCTTTACAGGACAGTTCAAACGTAAGTTGCCTAGCTCTTAGTGCAAACTATGCTATCTCTCTTAAGACTTTTGAGGAGCCCAGGTGTTAGCTTCCACTATTTAGCAGGCATTACACTCCTGTCTGCCCTCTACAGAGGCCTTTTGAAAGGCATTATTTTATAATGATATTATACACTCTAACATCACTTCTAATTCCTAGTTCAGATACAATTCAGCCCAGGAATCCTGTGTTTATCTTCCCTCCAGAATAAATGAAACTTTTTCTTTCTCTGTTTCAGGAGAAACTAAGGGGATTTTATGACCTGTTTACTCCTGTGCCTGTAATACTGTTTTAGTTTAGAAGAAAGAAAAACCTAAAGTAAACAAAACAAGTGGCCAGAAAAATCATTTTCAATTTGCAGCCTTGTTATATCTGGGAACGGAGTTTATGATTAAGAACAACATACACAACTTCTCTTTATTTTTCTTTTTCCTTGACTGCAGTTACAAAGAACAACGTCTTTATGCCATCAAGCTTCTGTGAACCCTCTACAGGCAATTCTGACTCAGAACCAGGTGAGCTTCCTCATTTTTCTGCTCTTTTCTCAGCAAACTGCTGTCAGGCTGTCATGATCCAAAGTACTCTGATACTTCAGAAGTAAGACTTTATCTGGGAAAATGGAAGTGGTGATGGTTCTGATCTTACAGCTGTTCTCTTGCTCTCTTCATTGCTTGATTTCATGCAAGATTTTTCAAAATTCTTAAATGCTTTGGAAGTGATGGTGGAAGACTGCAATATGACTCTATGCCCACCTGTAAACCTCAGGATAAAACTATGACTCTATGCCCACCTGTAAACCTCAGGATAAAACTTAAGGGATAAAACTTCATTTATCTACTTTGGATACTGTTTTTTTGATACTGAAAATCAAATCAAACAATCTATGGTCATGATGATGTTCAACCATGTCCTGTGAACCCTGTATTGACAGTAGCGCTTATTTTGTTCATACAGTTCTGTGGTTTGGTTGTGCTGGTATTGCTGTACAGCACACTGTTATCTTATGCTTAAATGGCATGAGAATAATGAAGTACAGTAAGATGGTAAGGTGCTGAGTTGTCTTATTCTGAGCACAGCCATTATGCCCCTAAAAGGAAACAATTTGTAATTATACCTTGTAAGTTCTTAGGAACTCATTTTGTAATAGCTGTGGATTTATGAATATTATTTTCTTGCGATTTTGGTATTTTTATCTGAAAGCCTTAACTGTAGTGAGTACAAGCAAAGGAGTTTCTTTTACCTTCATACTGTAAAAGCATAAGGTAAAAGCTAATGGAATTACAAGAAACTAATATTAAGTTTAACTTAACTTATGATAATTAGCAGTTGAGTACTTGTTAGCAGCTGTCATGTTCAGTCATACTTTTGATTGTCCTTTCTTTAGTTTGATTCTCACTTAAAACCTGTATTAAGTACCTCTATTAAACCTCTATTAAGTCCTTCACAGAACAAACTCCATTTCTCTTGTGAAAATGGTCTGTTTCATGTTTCTCCTGAAAAACAATTTTGAATTTTTTCCTTGAAACAACTTGTGTTTCTGTCTTTGTATATTTGGTGTGATGATCACTGAAAATTCAGACTTCTTTTGGAAGAAAGGAATTTATTCTTTGGAAATCTGCTTATGACTTTGGATATTTATAAAACTTGTGGGTTGTTATAGTGGAGAAAGCACGAGGAATTTTATGACCGACTGAATGTATGTAGTATGTTACGGCTATGTCCTTGTAATTTTGTATTTTGCTTCTAGAGGAAAAGAGCAGTGGATTCCGGCTGAAGCCACCAATACTTATACATGGTCAGGCACCTAGTGCAGGTGAGTTCAGTGTTTTCTGCAGCAGTACAAAGAAACCAGTTTAAGCATTTTATTTATTTATTTTGGAGTTTCCTCAAACGGCTGTTGTAACTGGAAGATGGCAATACCTGTGTTTATGCAGAAAAAAAATCTTGTATTCTCCAGAGTGGCTATGCCCATATCCACTGTGTAATGTGTATAGACACATCCAAATTTTGGCTTGGATCAGTCATGCATTTCTGAAATGTATCTCCCAGTTGTCTCTGCTTAGCGTGCTTTGATTCAATTCTTAGAGTAGTCCTGGGCTCCATGAACTCAATTCCTTTGGTACCAAACTGGAACAAAAAGGGTGTTCCAGGAGTGCACTTGAGTAAGTTTTAGCCATTAAGGGCACTCAGTCTGGGACCAGCCTACAGGAAAGTCTGAAATGTTGTTCACTTCCCACTTCGTCCTCTCCCTGGCTTTTGTTGATAGCGTGGATGTTGGGTCCTTGATCCTACCTGTTCTGCTGTGCAGTTTGGTATGTTTGGATCTTACTGAGTTTCCTGTTTGCTGATACAGACCTAGCGAGTATGGGAAAGACAGGTCCTTAGGAGTTTAAGAGAAAAAAACAAAACTATTTTGGTAATGGAAGTTATTATTTGTTTTATATATCTGGAAACCTGTTTATTTCGTTTGCAGGAAGAGTAGTAAGTTTAAAAAAGAACAATGTTTTTTGAGCTGACATATGAACATTTGAACTTAGGATAGTTGTTATATTTCGGGTGTTGTCATGTCCTTTGAATGTGGGTGGCCTGAAATGGAACTACTTGCAGAATATTCAGCTGAGTTGCGATGAGTAACTTCTGTTACGGTATTTTACTGGATCAAGAGTTCATCTTTGTTTTGTTCAATGAAGAAAACTGAACCTTCTGGGATTGCCGTAACCTTCTAGAGTTGATGTTAAGATTTTTTTTTAAATTTATTTTTATTAGGTTGTTTAAGGTCAGTTGACTTTTTGAATCAGAGCGGAATTAAAGAGTTGTAGTGCTGTGTATCTTACTATAGCAAACCAGAGGCCAGGTTTATTCAAAAAGCCAAAAGGTTGTTAAATGAAACAAGATGTAAGATCATAGAATCATAGATTGGTTTGAGTTGGAAAGGACCGTGAAGATAATGTAGTTCCAACCCCCCTGTTATGGGCAGGGACACCTTCCACTAGACCAGGTTGCTCAAAGCCCCATCCAACCTGGCCTTGAACACTTCCAGTGATGGGGCATCCACAACTTCTCTGGGCAACCTGTTCCAGTGCCTCACCACCCTCAGTGAAGATGATTACACTAGCAATACATTTGATTGTATGAAGAACGGCGGGGGGGGACACGACACCAAAACAGTATCTGGAAATTACTTCCTTAGAAGCAGAAAAGAAGACTTGGAATGTGTAGTTGAATAATATGTCAGTGAATAAATAAGATTGCTTGCGTACTGTTCATTTCTCTTACATTTTGGCTTTTATTTCTGAGTCATTGTCATAAACTCTCCTTCTGTGCTTTCCTGGATAAGGTAGAGAATGTATTTTAAAGTGTCTTTTAAGGCTAGGAAGTTGTCTTCTCTATTTGGGACTAATTCTATTTTGAGGCTGAGTGAGGGATGGGAAAGAAGGGAGTAGAAGCTTTTTCAATGTCTGGTTTTCCACTGTATGTTCTGTTGGAAGCAGTTACAGAGAAGATTAGATGAAGTTGAATTTTTCAACTTTGAAGCTTTATAGCTCTTGAAAAAACTTTGTACTTGCAGGTCTCCCTAGCCAGAAACCGAAGGAACAGCAGCGAAGTGTGCTACGTCCAGCAGTATTACAGGCACCACAGCCAAAAGCTTTCTCACAGATGGGTAAATAATGCTTTTGCTTTCTAGAATACTGCAGAGGGAGAACAAAAATACAAAATCTGGTTGCGGTGCATCTGCCTTTGTTTTGCTAGGTTTCTCCTTTCAGAAAAGAAACATCTTAAATGTTAAGTATATCTGTGTTACATAAGGGATAATATGGTTGAACCTTCAGTTTTTGTATGAGCTGATTGTCTGACATTGCCAGGCCTCTAACTTTGGTGTAGTCCATGCTTGGTTTTTGGAATAAAAAGACTCTTAAGGGTGACAGCATTGACCATGGTGTAATAAGCTACTGCTGATCAACTGAACAGCAGTGGTAGACTTCAGCTAACTGCACAGTGATGTAAAATACCTAAATCACTAGGAGATGCCTTTAGGCTTGGGGACCATTTTGGAGTTGGGACACTTTGAGATACACATTTAATTCTTAGTTTGGTCATGTATATTATGCTTATTGTATTGCTATGGAATTTGATATAGCTAATAGAAATAGGCATGATTGAAAACTGGAAGTTAAAGCAAAAAAACTGTTCAAGGTGTCCATGTCTCCTAAAATCCTGTGTTTCCCCAGCCCCCTGCCTTTTGTTATTTGGAAGTTCAGTTGAACTGAAACAGAAGTAACTTCAGTTAATGCTGAATCTGGCATAGAACCAAACGTTTCTAGCTTGATTTCTTGGCGTGCCTGTTGGCACAGATTGGACTCTACAGAGGACTTAATATTGGGGTACAAATTTTCAGTGGGAGTTCAGCATATAAGTAGCTAGATCAGTCCAAAGAGGAGCCCTGCTGGCTGTGAACAGTATTAGATTGGAGCAGGGTGGTTGCTTGAAGCTGTATGTGTTGAAGTCCCTGCAGTGTTTGTATAGGTTAAGTGACTTTTTGCTGAGTTGGTTTTCTGCATTTGGAATTTTGATTCTGCTAAGAATTGCTGAGTCGTGGTCCTCATGTCTCTTGCAGAATACTATAGCAACTCTGTAGTTTACATTGCAATGTTTCATGGACTTAAACAAGAAAACAGCATGCAATTTGCCTTAAAAAACTTGCTACTTTTAGGACAATCTAAATATCTAGAGAATTTGTCATTTTCTCATTCCTTACTGCAGTTCTCAGCAGTGGCACCAATGGTGTAAATGGCCCGCCAGACTCTGCAGCCACATCAGAACCACTAAGTAATGCAACACAGAAAAGTTCTGACTCTGAAAACAAGGTGAGTTGGCGAAGAATTGGAAGGACATTCAAGGTGACAGACTTTAAAATAGTATTCTCTGAACAGAGTCTATTTGTTTAGTAATGTGAGTGCAGTTTCATCAGTGATAGCCCCCTAATCTGTCCATACTATGGTAGTACGCCTTAGGTGTAGTAATAGATTTTATACTGTCCTAATAGTATGCTATATTTATCTTTACTAACTCGAGAACTGTAACAAAAATTTACTGAATCCACAGTTTAGGGTGGTTTTTCATACCTATTTTCCCCTCTCAAAATATAAAAAAATTGCTCAGTTCTGCTTCTACTCTCATTGGTTCCTTTTAGTCCATCTAGCTTTATTTCTAGTCTTGCTGTAAAATCTTACTGCTGCTTGAGTGATGCCATTTCTACCATGGACATTGGATGCTTGTAATTTGGGTGTCTTGGTTAGTGGACTGATAGTCAGAATACTGCTTTTTCATCTGATCAGGTTGCATGAAGAAATACATCTTCCTCCTGCAGGTTCATCTCTTACTTTGTGTGCAGGGAGTGGGTCAAGAGAGTAGGGAATTGTCTTCTGGGGGTGGGGGGAGGGAGAAGCTGTCTCCTCCAGTGGCTGGTGCCCGGGCTGCAGGTCTGACTGATGCTCCTGTCAGGCCAGAGACTTAAGAAGCATTTACTGAATTCCTATTCCTGTCTGAAAAGGCTTTGCTTTTGAGCTGGGCAAACTGAGCAGTTTGTTACCTGTGTTCAGTCTTCCTTCTCAGACTGCCTAGCAAAAAGCAATCCCCTGCCCATGGATGATGGCTTTACTGGTGTTGTCTTGATTTCTAACAACTGAATGTGGAGTGGTGTTGGGAAATGTGAGGATGGAAAGCATACAGGCAACTGAAGCGAATGAGTAACACATAAAGAAGCTTAGAGACAGGAGCTGATAGTGGGTAGAAACCCAGGGGCAGCAAATAAATACCCTACAGGAAATGGTGGAGGGAGAGCGCAGGTAATGAGGGGCTGAAAAGCTTCAGCTAGAGGAAGAGGCATCTAAGTGCATTAAAAGTTGTTTATTCAGTATATTGAAAGGAAAGTTCCTTCCCTGTTCTGTGCAAACTGTGTCCAGTCCTTTCCTTCCTGCAGGTATTGAGCTAACCGTTGGCATCTTAAGACATGTTGACTGAGAGCATGAGGAGGGTGTTTGGGCATTTTGAGAGTGTGTGGGTTTTGGGTGTTTTTTTAGTGTGTTTTTTGATAGCTTCATTAGACAGTGGGTTGCTTTTTGATGCCACCTGGAGCGTAGAAGCAGTATTGTTAATGCAAGAGTATGCAACGGGTTACTTGAAATTCAAGTTTCAATTTTGAAATCTGAATATCTAAGCAGAAAGACTTCAAGTGTGAATGACTTTTTCAGGTTTAGTGAAAGACTATTGCCATAATTAAGTAGCAATAGGTAAATTCATTGCATGGATCTGTGAAGTCTTTGTGGGACATACTTGTTACCTCTGTGTATATCATTAGGGAGACCCTCTATACATTTCTAACATCCAAAAGTCCTCTTAACTTTTTTAACCAAAGTCCAGAAAAACTGACCTGGGAGGAAGTTTTCTGATAGAAGAAAGCTTTTAAATCTAGATGTTAAGGATTGCTGAAAGCTAAATATTAAATGGTATAAAGCTTCATAACTGAACATTTGCAATTTTGCCAAGGAGTGTGGTGGGATATTCTTCATTGCTTGGCATTTGTAGTCAGGATGGACTGTCTGCCTGAAGCTTTCTAGCACAGCTATAAGTAATTGAAGTTCATACAGTAGTTGTGTTAAATGCTGGAGCCTCTCTGCAGAATATTAGATTGCTTGAAAAGAGTGGATTGTTACTTCTGGAATTAAGTTTCGTATTAGTAACTATATATGCAGATCTGTGGCATAGATTTGATGTACCACAGAGAGAAAGCTTCCTTGTGAGGGCAAGTATGTGGTATTTTGCAGTTATGTATGAGCCTGATCAGCCCTTGTTAGAGCAGATGTGAGTCATGGTCTTATTTTACTGGCAGAAAAGATTTTTCTTTGAGGTCTCTGTCTTGTGCTTATACAAGGTAGCAGAGTGGGGATGTTCTCTATCTGGTTGTTGTCCTACTCTGAGCATCTCTGTGGCGACCTGTACCTATTTGGGCTAGGTCTTGTCTCTGTCTTGAAAACCTCCAGGAAACTGCAGGAGCCCTAAGCAACATAGTCCTTAAATGGAATATGTACAAGCTACAGCCTTCTATTCGACCTCCCTTGACTGGTGGGAGAGTCTGGTGGCTGAAGGTCATCAGATGTGCGGGGAAGCTTGATAGGCAGCTGTTCAAGCCTACCATGCAGCCCTTGGCCTTTTTGGCAGCAGGGAGATACTGATCCTTATCCAGAAGAAGGAGGATGTGTTAAGGAGATCCTAGGCTAATGATTTTTCCTTTTGTTCAACCAAATGCTCCTTTACCCTGTCTACACCATTCAGTGGTGGAGGACTACTCCCAGCAGGCAACACTGGCCCATTTCTGACTACCAGCAGAAAAAGGATGTCTTTGAAATGCCAGAATTAGCATTTGAAGGCAGATCATACAGCTAGGTTATGCAAAGGTTATGTCCCTTAAGCATAAAATGGGATTTGCAAAACTCCTTTGGACTCAATGCACTGTTGTTTTCCCACTGCTTTCTTTCCCCTGTGCACTATGTGCGGCAAGTGCCATGGCTGGCAGCCCATCTGAAGCACCTGTAAACAACACCACCCTGCATGAGAATCTAACAGGAGGAATTGGAGATGTATGTGCAGTGGTAGTTCTGTAACCTCACTGGGGTCATGGATACAGGAGGTTTACTTGGACAACTGGAGTACTGCATTGGATACATACGGGATTTTTAGGAAGTCAAGCAGGAGGGACAAGAAGGGGATGGGTTCTGCTGTGCTTGAAGAAGCTGCTTGAATGCAGATTCTTTGGTTTGGGAAAGGTGCTGAGTTGGTCAAGGCTTTATAGGTTACATCAGAGGGGAAGCCAACAAGGGGGAGATTAAGGTTGGACCAGTCAAGAGGAGAAAGTAGCCAAAGCCCTTGGAGAACTAGAAGCTTCACAATTGCAGACCTTGGTTCTAAAGGGGAACTTGAGGTACTTCGGCACCTGATAAAATGGCAACATGTCCTGGTAGAAATACTCCTGGAGATTTTAGGAATAAGTTGAGGACAATTTTTTTTTTATGCAGGTTCTGGATAAGTTGACCAGGGAGGTACTCAGCTGGACCTGGTATTCACAGCAAAGAACACCTTAGAAATACAAAGGTTGAGAGTAGCTGTGGTTGCAGAGCTATGAGATGGAGTTTGAGATCCTGTGGGAAGTGGGGAAGATAAGGATATCATAGAATCATTAAGGTTGGAAAA